GTGCCCGATCTTGTCTGATCTTGGAAGCTAAGCAGGGTGGGGCCTGGTTAGTATTTGGATGGGAGAATGTGACTGAATTTAGAAATAGGGTCTTTAAAGAGGTGATTAAGGTAAAATGAGGTGATGCGGGTGGACCCTAATTCAATATGAGTGGTGTTCTTATGAGAAGAGGAGCTTAAGACATAGACACAGAGGAAAGACCATGTGAAGATAGGGAGAAGACATGAATTCATTCAACAAACATTTATTGAGCTTGCCGTGAACATCAGGTACTGAGCTAAATGGCAAGGACAAAAAGATGAGCCCCCCACCCAAAGTAGCTCAAAATAAATAAGACCCCAAATCACCCTCAAAGAATTCACGGCTTAAAGGGGCACATACAGAGTGAATTTCAATATGAGGTGATCAGTGGTAAGATCATGGTATGCACACAGTGGGTAAGGACCATGGGCCCTGGGAACTAGACAGGGAAGCAGGAGGGCTGTCAGATTGGAGGTGACAGCTGACTAGGTCTTTAGGGAAAAGGAGAAGTGTGCTGCTGGGTGGATGAGGGAGGAGACACCTCAGAAATGCCACAGACAAAGGCAGGAAAACGGGAAAATGTCTAGAATGTCAGGTGATGAGTGAGAAGTTCAGGGTAACTGGAGTTAGGATGTGTATGAGAGAGGGTGGGAGGACAGACTGAAGAATTGGGGTCAATGAAGGGCTGGCTTTGCCAAATTTGGATTTTAACCTGAAAGCACTGGGAAGCCACCAGAGATTTTTATTGAGAAACGTCATGATCAGACTTGCTTTGAGCGTGATCTCTCCAGTAGTGTGGAGAATGAAATGGTATGAGAAGTGGGTTGCAGAAAGACTGGATGGCAGGGAGGACTGTGGAAACCTGACCTGAGGTGGTAGCACGGGATGGAGAAGGGCAGTCCTGCTTTAGAGATACGTCAGAGATGGAATGTAAGAGGTCTGGTAACTTCCGTTGTGAAAATTTTAACACCGATGCGTGCCAGCAAGTGAAAGGAACTTCCAACTATAAAGCACTAGACAATATTTACTTGTTTTTTGATTTTCCTGTATCACATGAATAAATATCATTGCTTCCCTAAACATATAGACTTATTGTCAATTTAATAAAATACCCAGTATTTTATTTACTTTTTAAGAATTAAATTCAAAGGTGCTACATTTTCTTACTTGTGTCTTGCTTACATTTGGGAAGAATTGTTCCTCCAAAAAGTACAGTATAATTGGATGCGGTTAAAAATAAATAAATTTTATTTTATCTCCTCATAGCATGTCTGGTATTTTTGCGATTCTTCCAAGTTGGACTTGCTGGGAAGCTGCCTTGTTGAGGAAACAGAAAGTCTTGGGGAATACACTCTCCTGTATCCAATCTGAGATTTCTCACTACCACCTACCTTGAGTAGTTTGCTCAGTCTCTCTAGGCCTAGGCTTTCTTATTTCTAAAAGGATAGATTCCTTGATCTCTAAGATTCCTGCTGACGAAAATTCTGCAACTCTTTCCTCCCAGAAGAATGACTGCTCTTGGATTTTAAAATGCTTTTTTTTTTTTTTTCGAGTTTTAAAAAGGAGACTTTAAAATTTTGCTGAGAAATCCTTCTTGGAAAGTATATAAATCTTGTGAGATGCTTTCGAAATTCATTAAAGGAACTGAAGCATCATGCACGTCTAAAACATTACCATTCCGGGTATGAAGGCACGCAGGGAAGTGTACTTAACCCTCTGCAGGTTCAACTAAGGCTTACAGGGAGTAACACAACGAACAAATGATGCTTTTTGAACAAAACTGGAGAGCTGAATGGAGTCAATACGACTGCTGGAAGATTAACAAGCCAGTGGATTCCCTTTTCCCTTCCTCAGGAAACTTGTTATCTGTAGATGCAGGAGGGCTCTAGATCTCTGGAAGAGAAAAAGGACAGCCAGGAGGGGAAGTTTCTCCGATTTCTTTACTCCCCACCTGCCGGTCTGATTTGCTCTCCAGCTCTGTCTGATAAGGAATTGATTCTCCCCCTCCTCTCCCTCCCCCACCCTCCCTCCCTCTCCTTCTCCCGGAGTAACGACGCTGTCCTAGTAAGTGATGCTGTCGGAGGCAGGAGACCGGCACGGAGGAGGCGTCGCCGCCGCCGCGGGGCTGGAGAACCTTTCCCAGCGCCAGCGCCCCGCTCGGCCCCGGGCTTCCGACCCGCAGCCACGGCCGCCGCTGCTCCCACGGTTTGATGGTGGGCGGCGGCGGCTGCGTGGCTTCGGCTCCCGCCTCTGACTGCTCGGTCGCGGGCCGCGCCGCTCTCTCCTCCCGCCTTCCCGCCCCGGGCTGCCCGGGACTGCGGGAGCCGCGGGAGGCGGGGAAGGGGCGCCGCGCGGAGACCACGCGGCCGCGGCGGCGGGGCAGGCCGGCAGCCGGCGGCCCCAGGCTCGGACCGCAGCGGGCGCGATGTCCACCAAGGTCAGGAAGTGCAAGGAGCAGGCGAGGGTGACCTTCCCCGCGCCGGAGGAAGAGGACGAGGGCGAGGACGAGGGCGCGGAGCCGCAGCGCCGCCGCCGGGGCTGGAGGGGCGTCAACGGGGGGCTGGAGCCGCGCTCAGCGCCCTGGCAGCGGGAGCCGCACGGCTACTGCCCGCCGCCCTTCTCCCCCGGGCCCGACCTGTGAGTACCGGCCGGGCCGCGGCCCGCGCCTGGGGGGCAGCGCCGGGCGGGGGCGGGAAGGCGCGCCTCGGGCCGCTCCGCGACGTGCCGGGACCTCCGAGCGCCACCCGGCACGGCCGGCAGTTAGATTCGGTGACTTCGAGGGCGCAGACCTCGGCCAGGGGCTCGCTCCGTGGAGGGGCTGGAGGGGGCTGACTGAGCGGCGGGGGCTCTGTCCTGGCTCGAGCGCGCGGAGCAGCCCGCAGACGGGCGCGCCGACGCCAGACGGGCGTCCCGGCAGCCAGTCACTCCCTCTCCCAGAGCCGAGGACGCGCGCGCGACTGCCATGGGGGCTTGGAAACCAGCCCCGCGTTCCCTGAGCTTCCCCGGGGAGACCAGGGAAGGGCAAGAAGTGCACAGACCCAGGCGCGCACTTGATCCCGGAACTCCCCGCGTCCCGGCTTGAAACCACCCTGGGAACTTGGGTCCCCTCAGACGCTCGGGCGGGCGGGCGGGGGCAGAGGTGGGGAGTAGGGAGGCCACAGGGCGCGATACAGGGTGTGGGCTGAAG